TAAGCTCTGGGGGCTAATATAGAAATAGTAAGTTGAAACTTCACATTTCAGGAGCATTTCTTGTATTTCCTAGTTTTGGAGTTTTTGTGAACCAGACCTGGCAATTGTTCAAAGATGGTAGCTCTGGCCAGATCTCCTAAGAAAAAGCATTTATGCAAGGAATGGTTCTGAAATCCTTAAATCTGTTTTCCCAAACTATAAACCAGTATCTAGGAAAGAAGAATTAGTTCCATTTTGGTTTTACCATGATCCTTTCTACTTAACATTATTGGGCAGCAAGCCAACAGGTTTCTATGTTCATCTTTTCAGAAGTACACCAAAATGGTCCTCTGTATTGTGAGTAAGGAGCTGAGGCTCTGAGGGATATTTAATCATCGGCATGCCTACCAGAAGGGATTTTAAAAATTTGATGTAAATACCACAAGTGATTTGGAAAACACATATTTTAATATGTATTTCTGATGCACTCCAGGAGTCTTTTGAGGTAGATTTAGGCTGTTAAATGCTCTGCACTTTTTTTTTCTCTACTTCAGCACTTTTTACATTTGCAAATGCAGAATTAAATGTTTCGTGAAATATCTTGTAACAAATGAAGATGGCAATACAAAGTAATGTAATAAGCTATTGTTAATATAAGATGTCTGTATGCCTAACCATCATCTCACATTGTGAGAAAAAAAGGATCGGAATAAATGATATTCTTCAACTCAGGGGATAAATTATGCCACAGGTAAGATGCTAAACAGTGAGAAAGATGAGATTTATCTAGATGGAAAAATTCTGCCACATGAGCAGCCCCTGCACTTCACATTTCCTTAGGGATTATAGACAGCATTGAAAGGAAAAATTCTAGCAGGGAAAAAAAGATCAAAAGGTCTATCAGTGCTTCGCCAAAAATCTTTAAATTCTTCAAGATGTCTGTATTATCTGATATGACTGAAAGGGAGGCTGTTTTAATCTGCATTATTTGCTACGCTTTGTGGAAGAGTAACATATCTAAGAAAGGCAGAAGTCATCTCATGTACTTCTAGTATCTTCTAGACTCCACGGTGTTTTGTAAAGTTAATTTCAGAAACACTCTACTCCCAGCTGATCCACATCCTCTGTTCAAGTAGGACATGGTGACCTACTTTAAATTTCCCAAACCTGCAAGAGGCAGGAGGGTATCCTTCAGCCCCCATCAGCTTTAGAAAACCAAGCGGAGGGGCTACAACATAGAGCAAAGACCTTGATTCTCACAGGAAGTAATGAAAAGTGAAGGTTTTGATTTGGCAGCACATCTAAAGCACAGCTTTAAATGAAGCACATAACTTTCTGGCATCACATTCAGACATTGTTCATTACTGACACGTAGGGCCTAGGGGCCTAAGGCAATGGGCATGTTTCTTTAGAGAGATGTTGTAGCCAAATGCTGTCTTTGTACAATATGATCTACAAGAAGGTCCTGTTCTAAAATCGGATGGTTGCCAGAGTCTGATATAAGGAAAAGCCTGCCAATCTACTTTTAAAGATAGACCAAAAATGTGGCGAGTTTGGTTTAGCAAGAGACCTGTGGGGGCATGTTAAACTATCCTGTGGAAGTCATTTTGCTCCCTGCTTCTCATATTGATTTGCACAGCTACCCACTGTAATACACTTGTTTTGTAGTATTTCTTCTGTCCTAACCAGAAAAGAACCAGAAAATACTTCATAAATTCAAATTTCAGAGATTTCACTGGCTAGAACTTCAGCTTCTCCAAATTGTCATAGTTCCCCTGACTTTCCTAGAGCTATGCTTGTTTGGAGATGCAGGGATCTGCCTCAGTATTTGTGGTGGCGACTCTCCACATGATGATAGGACAGAGCAGAAAAGCGAAGAGGGGTCCGTTGGAACGTGCTCTTCTTCCCACTGCACTAGTAACATTTTTTCCCTCATCTTTTGATGCCTTTTTGTTAAGCTAGTCCTCTGAGACCACAAAAATCACCATTATCACCTGCTTTCTGAGACTCGTGTGGTCTCCATCCCTGTGCTGCCTTCTCTCCCCACTACCACAGTCAAGGAATAGTCAGCTGTCAGAGATACTTTTGAGATATCTTTCTAGTTTTTACACCAAAAGGGATCTAAAAAAGAGGGTTGGTTCCTTGTAGGAAAGGCTAGCGTTCTCTGTTCAGGTGGCCTGGCTGTTCTTCCTACTCCAGGGCTGGGGATGGCAAAGCGGCCGAGTGTGGGTTGGTTTCAGCATTTCGTATTACTCACACCTGCAATGTAAATGTGTTAAACAAAAAATCAAAAGGAAATGCTTTTCCTCTGTCACAGCAATTCGCGGTAATCTGAGATCTAATTTATTCACCAGTTGAAAGGGAAAGGGAAATCAAGCCAGCATCTTTCATTTGAGCCAAGCACTTTTCTTGTGCACCCCTGCATAGGCTCACACAAAAGAGCTCTGATCACTCTAACGAGGTGCCGCTTCTAATTATAGAAGGGCTCAGCGTTGGTTACATAATTGCCCAGCGCACTTGGCACACGGCATTGTTATACTACAAAAGCCTCTTCTTTTTTGTCCACAGAGCAGGCCTGGCTTCAGCCTGTTTAACTGAGAGCTGCGAGAGACTTTTTCACTCACGGGAAGCAATCTCGCCTAGCTCCTCCGGGATAGGCCAGTAAAATCCAGGTGCTCACCTGCCGCTTTTGCTGGGAAAGCTGCCGGCTTGTGATCTGTTAAGGCAGTGGATTCATATCCTGGGCTTGGTGTTCAGCAGCCCGGGCAGAAACAGCGCACTGTCATCAGGAAACAGTGACAGGGCTGGGGTTACAGGCTCTGTTTTGGATTTAGCTATGTGGTAGTGTGGTGGTTTCAAATGGATCTCCCACTGCTACAGCCTATACCAGCCTCATCCATGGAAGTAACAAACCTACATGCAAAAAGATCTATAGCAAAACTTGCACAGCCTGTAATACATCTAGGGATAGATCTTTTTTCAGCATTTCCAAGCCCATTTTATTTTGTGTTTCAGACTGGTTACTTCATGTTCAGCCTGTGTTCATTTCTCTCTCATTTTTCTAGCTGTACTTTTAGCACATCTTCCTCATTTTTGTTCATCCTTTTTTTAACATTGCCTTCTAAACGGCAAATCTTATTTCCAAAAAAAGAGTCTTCGCTAGATAATTTATTATGGTCCAAGAACCAAGCTGAGCTGCTCCACTGCACTGATATCAGTTCAGAAGCTCCCATCTGTCCAGGAAGGGGAAGAAACCTATGGAAGTGCAGCCAATGTGGCCATCCTATGGCCTGCAGCAGCAGCCAGCCCTGTAAGCCCTGTATCCTCAGTGTGTTGGCAGGGTCATTACCTGTAACTCTGTCCTTCATAACAGCTAGGTGCCTTGTTTCTCAAAGTACCCCTAAGCTTATGTTCTTTAGGCATTCATGTTAGTGCCTGCTGAAGGGGACGGAGAAGGAAAGTGAGTCAGGAGGGGAAAAAAAGAGGAGACAGACAGAGATACAGGAAGCAAAGGGAGTATCCAACAAATACTTGCAATGAGCTTTTGGGAAAAATATTTAATATAGCATTGTCCTTTGCCCAGGGACAAAGTGAACAGGTCATCTTTACAGGACTGGAATAAAAAAAAAAAAAAAAAAAGAAATTCATCATGGAAGGGAGGCCAGTCTTTAGGATGTCTGAGCACTGTCCCCGGTACTGCTCTTTCTTCTAGAAGCTGCTCCATGATCTTGTGTGTTTGTAAATTCTTCCCCTGCCCCCACTTTTTAAAATCTTGTCTCTACATTTTTAAATACAACTGTTTTCTCATAAATATGAATGGAAACAGAGTCAATGTAGTGATGCCTTCCTAATTTTATTTCAGTGTCTTCTGAATCCTCTTTGAAACCATAACCCTGAAAGGTTAATTAAGATTTGTTTGGTCTCATTCTCTTTTCATTTCTTGCATCCTTTAAAAGTATTTGTCCAAGGATTCATTGTGGTAGCTCTGTCCTAAACTCCATCCTAAATAATTATTCCAGCATGTTTTCCCAGGTATTATTAATTTTTAAGTTATCTTTACCAGAAAGATATGACTGGAAATCAACCTTAAGGAAGGAAGTTAAATCATAAATGCCAAGTTTCACATGGGCAACTGTCAAGTTAGATGTATATTCCAGAGAATGTAAATGCCTTATGCCATCTTTGAGAGTTCAGCAGCATTTTTCATTCCCTGCATGGTTCCTTCTCTCCCAAGCAAGGCAGAAAGTCCTATGCCTCTGTTCATTTGCCTTTTATTATCATCTTTATTTGAAGATGGCTTGGTGGAGAATCGGTTTCGCATTGAACCTTGAATACGGTAACACTGATCATCATTATCACTTCTCACGGTGAAGGTACAGCGAGGGGCCCAGTGCAGCCGCAGCCCGAGGGGCGCAGCCCGCGCAGGGCTCCCCCCTGGCCGCGCTCCCGTGGTCTCGCCCAGGAGTCGGCGCTGCGGACCCTGCCGGGCCGCACACTACAAGTCCCAGCATGCCGCGCGGGGGAGGGCCGTACCATGTGCGAGGCGGGGGGGAAAGGCGGCTCGGCCTGCGGGGGAAAGGGCTCCGGCGAGGCGGTAAGTGGCGGCCCCGATTCGGAGCCGGCGGCGGGCGCGGTGTCACCGCAGCCCCTGTGTCCCCAGGTGCCAGTGGGTGGGCGAAAGGGAAAAAATGTTAGTTCCTCTGATTTTCCAGTAAATTGAATTTTGCAAAGCCTTACAAGGAACAGAAACGTTTTAATTGAAAGCCTGTCGAGCCTCTGCTGAAGGACGCAGAGGTTATGCTAAATGCCTGCATGAAAGCCATGGAGATGGGTCCTCTTGCAGGAAGCCCCACACATCTCCACACCGTGACCGGAGGAGGGCCGCCTCCTTGGCAGTGCTGCTCTTTTGGGTTTATTTTCTCCAAGTTTGGTCTTGGGCTCAGAGAAGTCCCCATTGACCAGAGAGCCCTTCCTAGGGAGGAAGGCACCGGGTGGCGCAGGTTGCTCTGTCTGGGACTGGTGCCATGTGTCTTGGCTTTTCTGTCTCAGAGTTAACCTAGAACTTGTAAGGAAATAATAAAGATTGGCCAAAGTTCATGTGCAGCCGCCTCTTGTGTTATATTGGCCTGTTTGGCTGTTTATGTTACTATGAACTGTTTTCAAAAGGTTTCCTCATCCTCCACAGTGATGAGGAATCAGCCTGTATCGCATGAATTCGATGCTTGCACTATCTTCTAGCCTGTAAATAATGAACAGTCCTGGTGTAGGCTGTCCAGCACTTGCGCTTGCAGGGGACAGTGACTGTGACCGAGTCCTGCTTGGTCGCTCCGATTGGGTGCCCTGTGCATCCCCTGCGCGTCGTGCAGCGTCTGCTGCCCTTTGCTGGGTCAGACGCAGCCTCCAGCGAGGCATCGCCTTTGCTCCAGCATTCGGGGGCTGTTCATACTGAGGAGCCTCCACCGTGAGCCTGGCAGTGTCCAAGAAGTTTTGTGCTCTCTGATGTTGAAAGAGCTTCCTTTAAACCCTGTTTTATCTTCTAGCATTTCCTTAAAGTCCCCACAGGCCATCATACATTCAAAATACTTTGGTGAAGGGGCAGTGTACTGTTATGTGCAGAACTAACTTCTGCTGATCATGTACTGCTTTGTTTCTTGTTGCTTGCCTGTTGCTGCCTGCATGTTGGTGCATGGAGAAAAGTTCTGTTGTGGTTGCACATGGTGTAGCACAACAGGATGCTCTTTTGGGCGTTTGTGGCCTCTAGAACAGTTGAGATAGAAACAGCAATGGAGTTAGAGCAGAGCAGCTTGTGTTCACTGCTGCCACATTGCTTGGAGCTCCTGGCGGGGGCAGTGAATTGTTAGTGGAGCAGAAACTAAAATGTGGACTTTTAAGTTGTGTGTGGCTCTAAACATTGGATCACTGTGTCTCAGATGGAACTGTTGCTGTTTTGTGTCTCTGCAGGGATTATCAGTCATGGCAAGAAAGATCTTGAAACTTGCCTCCTTCGCAGCGGCCACCACTGGCATCTACCTATATGGCAACAAGTTCCTGGATCCCAATGATTTTGGGGTTGTTCGTGTGGGCCGGGCCATTGCCACGGTAAGTTTTGTCCTAGTAACGTGAAGGAGGATTCTTAGGTGAAAAAGAGAATTTAAGAATTAAGAATTGAAGTTCACAAGAACTTGGAATTTTTTATATTGCCTCTCTACATTTCCGTTCGGCAGCTGGCCCCAAGATTTGGACTAGCAATGAGGAGCTCTTCACGTTTTTGAGACAGTGGGGAGAAAAGAGGTGAAAACACAGAAGGAATAGAGCTATCATTTACACATTTTAGAAATAAATAGACTGGAATGCTGGTCTGTAGAGAACTTTCCCTGTGGATGGGTTGGGACCTTCAGAACTAGGGCTCACTTGGGCACACACGTATATTGATCTAACGTCAGGTACCTGGCTACATGGTCCTGTTGCTTTTAACAGTGACCAGACCATCATGTTTGTAGATGCTATTTGTTACACTAGAACATTTGATCTAAAGGATCAGGATGTTGGGTTTGGAGGAGGCTTTGTGGGGATGTTTCATGAGGAGTTTCATGAATGAGGATGTTTCATGGGGATGTTTCATGAGATTCCATGAGGAGTAGGGAACAAAGCAGAGGGGAGGCCGGTGGGAGGCAGCATCACTTGTGTGATGCCTCTGTCACTTCAGGCCACGCTCCCTGTCGCTTCCCGGCCCCAGCGCCGAGCAGCTGTCTGCCTGCCTATCTGACAAGCTCTAAGCACTTCGTTAATGGGTTTTACGGGGAGCCAGCTCCTGAGGGCAGGTGCAGGAAGAAGCAAAGCCTCATTGGCTCGAGAGCCATGCCATTTGTATGTGCAGGCTGCACCAGGAATCATGGGGAATGAATACTTGTTTTGAAAAGGTAAAGGCAGAAATACGGACTTTAGCAGGCGATAGCAGTTTTGGCCAGAGTGCACCATGTGTGTTTGCTTTCGAAATAAGAATTTTCTGTTTCCTTTCGAATTCTCTGTTCCTTCTAACATATGGGACAGATTGTTTCTGAGAGATTCTTTAGTTTCTCTGCACCAGCGACCTCTCTCTTCCCAGCCTGGGGTCTGCTTTATGATGGACAGGCAGATTTCATTCTTCACAATGGAATAGGGTGGGTGAAGCCAACAGGGCAGACATGTTCATTGCTAAGAAGTTCTCAGCTCCCTGGACTGTTCTTTTGTAAATGATAGCTGAGATTGGGTAGCAAACAAGTTACGTTGGGGAGGGGTGGTATCTACATGGGTCTGTAGAGTCTGCCCTTCAATCTAACTGTGACAAGGCTCCTTGCTTGGATGCTTAACTCAATCTTTGGACTATATCCAGCCAAAAGCAGGCTGTAATTAGTAGACTGCAATTCTTAGAGCTAAATTCAGCAGCAGCAGATGCAAAAAAAATTAAGACAAGTCATGATGTAGCCAAAAAAAAGAAAAGAAAAAAGGGAATAAAAGAACACATAGAAATCAAAAAGCTTGACCTAGAACTGCATTCTCAGGCCTCCAGACAAGTTTGATCTGGGTTTGATCAGAAAGATTTGAGTTTGCTCTTGTTTTAATCATGCTCATTTGTTCTTTGCAGAATTTCCCAAGAGGCCTGTCGAAGTGTCCTAATAGAAAAAGTCTTCTTGAGCCTCAGTTTAGGGAACTGGCACTTGCTAATGTGTGGGTAAACAGTTATTCAGAAGGAATGTTGTGCCAGGACCTCACAAAACCTGAGTGTAGTTTTAGGAGTGATGGAAAGCGTGTAAGGAGTTGAGAATTAAATGAGGCAAAGTGGAAGCCCACATCTTTGGCGTATTTAACACTGGATTGATAGAAGATCAACTTAAGAAATAATATGGCAAATAAATGGCATATAAAATGTAAGGAATTGGATGAGCTTGTAAGCCTTTTTATGTTCCTAAGACACGGCCTCATTCTGTAGACAGCACTAATCTTAGATGAGAGTGAAGTCTGTGGTCTGGGCAGCATCAGATTTCAGATGCTTTCTGTGTTCTGGTAGAGCTAGAAACCTGGCAAGGCAGTTTTGCGTTTGCTGAACTTCTCTGAGGGCCCCCAGCTGTTTCAGAGCACGTCAAATGAACATTGTGTGCTGTAGCTGGAATGCATCTCAGACACTAGCAGCAATTTGGCAATGTCAGAGTTGCCTATCAGGATCATCATAATACTAATTTAGTGTTTAAGATTACGATGTAATTAGCAACTGCTTAATTAATTTCTTCTTCCTCTGTAATACAGGCCAATCTGTTAGCAGTTTCTTTTCAAGTTGGAGGTGATAATTACCCTCATGGACCAGAAATAAAATAAGAACCATCTCAAGCCTTCACCCAGGGCTGATTTGAACCTCCCTCCATTTCCAAGTTGTTCTTTGACTTGGAAATAATGCTTTGAAAGATTTTTCTTCTGAATGTGTTTCTGTGTAGCTGTGCAGCTCCTGAGTTCACCAGGGGCAAGCAAGCCCGAAAAGCCAGAGGAAAATTTTTCAATCCTGAAAAAAGGAAGTGCAAGAAAGTTCAGCTCCAGAAGGAAAGCCTATATCTGTTTGAAACTACTTTCCCAGCTTGATCCTCTTTTAAATAGAGGCATCTTTGAGCTCTTGACTACTTCCCAGCTGTCAGTTTCAGCACCTTTGTCCCCAAACAGATTTGATCTTATTGCGTCTTTGGCTTTCTGGGGTACTATGATTGTGCTTTGTGTGCTTTTTCTGCCCACTTGCCATGTTGGGGGTGTAGGGTGACAGCAGGGCTAGTGTCCCATCACAGGATGGGCTGCAGTCCCTGTGGTAGTCGTTTTTTCCAAAACAACTGCAGAGCTTTCTGACTCTTTCTGGTTTCATCTGCAGACAGCGGTTATCACCTATGACTACCTGACCTCGCTCCGGAGTGTCCCGTATGGATCGGAGGAGTACAACTTCCTCAAGTCCCAAGTAGGTGGTGAAGCACTGAACTCTGTCCTGCTGGTTGGTAACAACAGAGACAACTGTCTGCACAGTGGAAATGATTCTTGCAGGAGCTATGGAGAAGGTCCCTCATTAAAGGTGGCCACATATAGTGTGTGCCTGTGCCCGTTAGAGATGGAGGTTCTCCATGTAGGAGGGGAGATGGGGTTGGGCTCTGTCCTGCCCTGTTCCTGGCTGCCCACGCTGGACGTGTGCAGGTCAGCTGCTGAGAGGGGCTTGCCAGTGGTGCCTTATCCTGCTTCTTGTTAGGTAATGGCTGTAAAATGAAGATTAAAGGATTTAAGTAGAAGTATGGTGGAGAGGAGTTCACTGGGATGAATCAGGCTTGTAGAAGATCTCCGAAGAAATCAGAAGTAATGGGGCAAACACTTCACTGCAAGGTTGTCTTGTACTGTCTTTTGGTGTTACCAGTTAACATGAATAGAAAAAGCATTTCTAGTGAGAAGTATGATACAAAAGAAGGCACCTCTGCTCTGTCCCTCAGTCTGTGCTCCAATTTTCCTGCTTTTCACTCCAGCCCTACACTACCTTGCAACACTTTGGTGTGAAAAGCACTGTGTTTTGTGAGTGCACTTCGCATAGCCAGTGTCTCCTTGCTATTCTGGCTTAGGGACTCTTTCAGGTGGGAAAGCAAGCTGGAGCTGAATTATGCCAGACTGTGCAGTATGTCCTGAGTAAGGTGTTTAACCTCATTTCCCTGTGTAGTGCATGTAAGATTCAGGCCACTGGTGTACCTGCATTGCACGGAGTAGTGTTATCCAGGGTCTGGCAGACTGGGTGGGAACAGTAGTGGGACTGGCTTGTGGTGAGTGCCATTTCATGCCTTGTGCCAAGGCCTGCACCAGCCATGCTGATTCAGACAGTCCAGAGATAGAAATCTGTGGCATTGGGCTCCAGCAGGTTTTAATAATCTTCTGACAGGGAATCGACATCATCAGCATAATCTTAATTAAGAGTATTTGGGATAGTGCGAAGGGCATCCTCCCTGAGCTTGTTCTCATCCTCTCCTCCTGTCTAAAGATAGGAAGTTGTTGGGCTGTCTCCCGCTGAGTGAGTAGCATTGCTGCCCTAGCACGGACTGAGGGCAGATGCACTAGAGTCTGGAGCTTCACCTTCTGTCTGCCGAGGTTTCTGCAAGCTCTGCAAGTGCCCCAGGGCACACAGGTTTGGGGCTCCTCCTTACACTTCGTGACTAGGAGACTGAAAATCTTGGCCAGTTGTGAGAGGTCTTTACAGTCAGTGGGATGAATTGGTGAGTTTTCAGGAGAGTTCTTGTTGGGCTAGGGTGCGTGGGACAAATCCGTTGCAATAAGCACTGTTACCTCTGTTCCTGGCAGTGCCAGTTCTGGTGATTGTGAACTTCCTTATGTAGAGCAGATCCCTTCCAGGCAGGTCTGGCAAAGGAAGCTGGTTTGGGCTGTTGTGGGGATCAGCAACTTCCAGACTCCAGAGCTGTCACTCTGGTACTTTCAGTGCCTCCAGAGGTCTATTGGGAACCCCTGCCTTTGACACCTGCTCTGCAGAAAAGCTGCCTGCAGCTTTCTCAAACGAAGCCAAAGCTACGGAGCTGTCGGTGCTGTGTAGAGCTTGTCATCTGGAAGCGGCTCCCAGCAGTCTGTGCACATTCCTGACCTTTGCTGCATGTCTCCATGGCCTCATTAACCTCTGTCACACAAGTCTGATGGTTTGTCGATTCCTGCTCCAGGCAGCTTGAAAGGGCCCCGGCTGCTGGCACTGCAGAAAGCTGTGTGGACCCTGTTGGCAGCTGGCACAAGCGGAGTCAGCCCCTGCGGGTGGCAGAGCTGGTGACCAGCGGCACATGTCAGTGTGACACAAGAGGGTCTTGTGGCATGGCCAACACTAGCCTTGAGCCTTTGGCACCCTAAAGAGAATTGAGCTGGGAGACAAATAGGAGGAAGTAAGTATAGGCATAGCATGAATTGGGAAAACTTCAGTGTGTTGAGCATCCTGGTTTGTCCTGCTGTTGGCAGGTGGTTTTGAGGGACACCACTAAGCCTGACAGAAGCAGAGCTTGTGGGCTCTCTAGCAATCTCACTGCAGTGGATATGCCAGCAAAGTGTCACCTTTGCAGAGGAGAATAGCTTCTGTGTTTAGAGACTCCTTCAAGTGGGCCTGGAGAATTGCTTGGCAAACCCTTTGTCGCAGTCTAGCTCCAAGAAGATGGCAATCAAGCTTTATACCATCTTGGAGCTCTGTCACCAGTCTCTGGGAGCTGAGTTTGGTAGGTTTGCACAAGTCACTTCAGGGCAAGAAGTTCTCCCACTGGAGTGGGTACTAAAGGTTAGTCACAGGATGGGGCCAGCAGGATGTGACCGTCTCTGGTAAGAGTATGCAATGTGTGAAGGCTGCTCATCCCACTGCTGCTGTCCAGCCAGGACAGCTATTCTGTCCTGAATACATCTCCGGTGTTCCCAGGTATTCATTGTCCTTCTCAGTTTTCAGTCCTCCCAGTGAGGCCAAATTAACCTCCCATTTGTGTGCTGAGCGCTTGGAATTTTCTTTTAAATGTGTATATGAATCAGTTACTGATTTCCACCTACATTTTGATGCTGGCCTTAGACCACAGATTCTGTTGAGCAGGGACTTGGAGACCACAGGATACAGATAGTGTGGACAGGTCTGTATGCAGCTGCTTTGTCTCTGGCGAGGGAGGTGGTGCAGCTGCTTGGATGCTGATGGTGCTTGGGTCAGGCTTGCTGCTGGGAGTGGAAAAGCCCTCCTTTCTGGGTATCTCCTCCTGGTACTCAACACTCTGATAGGCGCTACTCAAATGCAAATGATAAAGCTCCACTCAATCTCCATGAACTCCAGTCAAACATTGAACTGGAACCTCCACATTGCTCATAGGCTCAGATGGGAGACAGGAAACCTCATCAGTAGCTCCAGTCCTTGAGCCTGTTGAGGCCAAACAGGGACATAGTCATTAGCAAACAGTTAAGCAGATTAAAAGGAAATAGGTTCCCCAGGGGCCCTTAGCCAGGTTCCCACTTAGCTCCTAGGAACCCTCTTCAATCTCACTCTGTTTTTCTGTGCCTCAGGGCCACTTTTGTTGCTAATGCTCTCAGCCAGATAGTTCTCAGCACCTTTTTATGGCCAGCAAATTGGAGAAATATTTATGATTTTCTGTGAGGAGATGAAATTTTGCCCTACATCCTCTGGGTTTGGCAATGTATATTTGGCACTTCTGCCTCTCTCTGCCTCTTCCCTCAGTCAGGAAATAAGAGAAGACATCTTCATGATGGTACTCGCAGCCCTTACTCAGCAACCATGGGGGAAAAAAAAAACCTTTTTTCCCTTTATTGTTCCCATTCCTGTCACTGCCTGTAATAGGAGTGACCCTGCTCAAATGACCCTGCTTTATGTCCTTTACAGTCTCATTATACCACTGGTGGCTGGACCATATGAGTAATTTGACTTTTCTTAGGGTTAGGGAACCTGTCCTGGGTTGTCTGCCCTTTCCCTGCATACAATGGTAATGTCACGATGTGAAAGCCAGTGGTAAACCATCATTAAGCCCAAGACACTGGATGCTTCCTAGGATGTCTGTAGGTTCTGTGTCAGGAGTGCTGGGGGAGACCTGAGCTTTCTTGTCTTCACCTCTGGTTCATTAAATGGTCACAACTGTCTGTGCATGTGTAAGCCTGGGCATTTCTTCCTGCTTCTGGCCTGCTTGTACTGTGGATCAGAGGAGGAAGGAGGACGGTGCACTATTTCCCAAACGTGACTCTTCTTCCTTATTACTTCATCAAGAAACCACTTTTTTTTTCTGTGAAAGGTTGCATCCCTCATACATTCCCCTGTCTCCTGAAGTGGTTTGTCTGATCTCAGCTGAGCCTTCTTGGTGACATTTCCACTGTGCGGCTTATCACTGGCACCTGACATCATCCAGCACCTGGATGTCTTCGTTGGCCCGGGGAGCACATTTCTGGCACCAGTTTCTGCTGATCCTGCTGCCAGCCAGGAGGTATCTCACAGCACACAATTCGTTTAAGGGCTGGTATCTGTGGGCTTCTAAGTTGGTTAGGAGGACGATTCCAATAGGTCGTCTTGTGGATTTCAGCACTAGTGGGCATAGATGCAGATCTTGATCAGGGCATTGCTTCTTTTGGGTTCTTATGTAAGACAAAAAATTTCTGCTGAAAACGTGGATATTGGTATATTTTTAATGGAGGGGAGAGAAAAGATCTCCTGTCAGGATGTCTCAGGAGACAGCAGGACTTTTTTTAACTATGTTGGCTATGAAATTACTTTGTCAGGGAAAAGCCATTTGGGGAGGTTAATTAACATTCTTCCTTTTGAGAGCAAAGCTGGAATATTCTTATTCAAACTGTTGGATTTGGGGCTGTTGGTACCTGGGCAATTATTTGAAAGCTGCAACCTTATGCCATCATCCTACAGAATATGTTTGCTTGCTCCTGGGAGGCTTTTCCCAGCATCCATAACATTTGCTTTCACAGTAAGGTGGGTGTTTTCAAAGAAGAGCTTTGTCTCACAGTACATTTGCCTGACTGAAGGAGCCTGCTGCCCCTGAAAAGAGGATGAGTGGGTGTACATGTGTTTTTCAAAAATAGCCTGCAATTTCTGAGTAGCTCAGACTAGAAAAAGAGCCTGTGCCTTTGGCCCTCCCTCGTGATTCAGTAATACTGTGTGCCTTAAATAACAGAAAGCAATGTCCTGAAATATTTTCTTTGTGATGGAGCTGGACTGTGTCTGCAGAGGGAAGTCCCTGGGAGCTCTCCATGGCCCTCCTGCAGAAAAGCATCTCTGACTTGGGACTATGGGCTGCTCTGCTCTGCAGCAGCTTCAGAAACAGGAGTTTCTCAGAGAGAAGTTCCTTACTAATGTGTTTGCTCCGAGAGCTGGAGGAGGTGGCTATTTCTGTCCCTGCGGCCTTGGATGGCTGTGCTTGCCCTTTGCTGTGGGGCTAGTGCATCAACTGTTGGCTC